TTCCATTTTTATTGAAGTTGTTGAAGATTGACGTTGCATGAGTGGAATGGAAGATATTTTGAAAATGAAATCATGTTGTAATAGTGAATTGGCTTAACCTTTGCAGTCTGTGTCAGTAATCTTGATAAGCAAATTAGACAATGTTTGGTTAAAGCATTCAAAAGTGAACAGGCTGAGCTGTAATTATGAATCTCTCTTTTCTTCTTGATTATGCCTTTTGAAGGGTTCCTGTCCATTCTTTTGGTCCATGCGTGTTGCTGTGCGTGTGAGGGAGAGAGAGCAGAGCTTGAAAGCCAAGCTTATGTAGAAAGCTAGTCTTAACTAGCAGCTTAGACTACCTCCGTAACATATTTAGCGAATTCCTTGGCCATAAACTGTGGAACTTTACTCTGTTTTTAAAATTTGGATGTTACTTGTACTACTGGCGATCTGTTTAGGCTTTCCTCCAGAGAGTGGCTGAAAGATACTGGTTTTTTATCTTGTTTTTACTTGTGGAAGATCTGTAGATTTTTACAAGCCAATTAATCGTATTGACAATTCAATTCAAGTAACTAACTATGCAATGCTCTTTCTCTGGCTTTCAGTGCCTTTGCTGTGTAAGTCTAGGATGAAAAAATTATTAGCTTTACTTTTTTTGTGCCTGTTTAAAATTAGTCTTCCAAGGAAGGAGTATTTCCCTCCTGTAATTTGTGTCGACTTCTCCCAGCTCTGTAGAAAGTGGCAGGTATTAAGACCATAATCCTTAATTTCAGATTTTGTTACTAGAATTGTTCTTACTAAAATGCTACTCTGCTTGTCAAACTCCAGAAATGACCTGCTAAAGAAAGCCATATGTACCTTTCCCTTGAATATGATACACTTAAATTTGAGAGGATGTGTAATTTAGATACAAGTTACATCAAGTTACTCTGTCTCCAAAAAAGAGGAGGGGGAAAGCTCTTGAAGATGATTTCTGGATGAATGGTCTTTAATAATACTAGTGAGACCTAATAACAGTTTCATCAAACCAAATCTAGTTACCTTGCTTTCTAGTTGTTTTTTCAGCTTCCCTTGTATTCTGAGGTAGAACTATAGGACTTCATGTGTGTGAACATAGTTTGGTAGTGCCCTCATTTTGGAAATTCATACTTCCTGTAATTTCTGACTCACATAAGAATTTGCGAGATTCATTACCTAAGAATTTGCAAAAATATCTTTCCCATATTGCATGGTGTGGACAGAAGGTCTCTGTCTTTCAACTCTACCAGATTAATTTTACAAAGATTTATCAGTGCTCTTTATCATTCACACTGTAAAACAGGTTTCTGTAACCAAAGCATAACCAAGGCAGGACTGTTGTATTATTTGTAGGTTATCGTATAATGGATATGAATTGTTAGGTTCTTTCATGGTAACTTTGTCTAATTGTATGTTAGCATTATGCAGTAGTTGGAAACAAATAAGCATGTAGTGTTGAACCTTGTAAGAAGAAGGACAAAATGCATACCTTGAGCATATTGACCATGAACTACATGGTTATGTGTTCAGAGACCCTTAGGAAATTCACAAAGCATATATGGCATGTTCAGGAAGCATATATGGCTTCCCTATATGGCTAATGTTGCTTTTGTTGCATTGAAAATATCATTACACCAAAAATCCACATGGAGCTGGTTGTTCAGACACTGAGGGAAGATATGTTGCTGGCAGGTAGAGTAGTTGTGGGTGAAATACATCAGACTGAGGGAAGAACTGAAGTGGTAGTTAACTCTGCTGTAGGAACTCTTGAAACCATCCAAGTTTAAGCATCTTGGTAGAATTTGGTAGAATGGGTTGGAAGGGAACTTCAGAGATCATCTAGTCCAACCTTCCTGTTGTGGGCAGAAACTTCTTTCATTAGATTTGGTTGCTCAAAGCCCTTTACAACATGACCTTTGAATGCTTTTAGGGGTGGGGCATCTACAACTTCTCTGGGTACCCTGTAACGTGTCTCACAACGCTCACTGTAAAAAAATTTCTTCTCCAGACTGAACAATGCCAACTCTGAGCCCGTCTTCATAGGAGAGGTGCTCTAATCCTCTCACTGTTTTTGTGGCCCTGCTCTGGACCCATTCCAGCAGGTCTGTTCCTTTCCTGTGCTGGGGCCCCCAGGGCTGGATGCAGTGCTCCAGGTGGGATCTCACTAGAGCAGAGTAGAATCACTTCCCTCAGCCTGCTGGCCACACTTTTTTTGATGCAGTCCAGGATATGGTTGATCTAGGGGCTGGAGTTTAGAGATTGGTCTTTTCAGGGTCTTTGTGCAGTTGGTGATACAGTCAATGAAGCGAGGAGAAGAGAAAGAGGCTTCTTTTTGGAGTGTCTTGGAACAGGAGCCTATCTCGAAGGTACGTACTGTACCTTTACATACGTGCCGTCTGAATAAGTGGTATTTTACAATGCTATTTTATATGATAGCTTTCAGATTTTCACATTTTAAACTGCACCTAGGTTTGCTGGGAGCCGTTTCTCTAACTGGTCAAAATTTAAGAATAATGAGTCACAAATTTCCTTTAATTTTCTGACTTCTCTGTCAGATGGATCCACCTTAAACATAACGTTTCAGTCTAATGGTGCAGCTTTGCTGGTTTAAACTTAATAGACTTAGTCTGTATTTTACATTACTTGGTGGTTAGCTTCATGTTTCTTATTGGGGTCGACTTTCGTTGGATTTGGACTTAAGACCTTGGAAGAAGTAGAAAGAATAAAGAGTGTGGGGCAGTGTCTTTTTTTATTCCAGGGTAGAGTTAGGGTTGTGAGCATGCTGTGGGTGAGAATAGCTGTAGAATAAATGAAGCATTTATCCTTCAGAAAGCTGTGTCATTAGAGATGAAAACATAACCTGATAGGTAGTTTACTCCCGTAAGAAGAGAACCTCACCTGGGACTGTGGTGGGCCACAGTCTCCAAAATGCATGGAATGTGGTTGAGTGCAGAGGTGGCTGTGTGTGGGTACTTGCAAGGACACAGCTACCCAGGGAGTCCCCACAGCACTGCAGAACAGCTGCCTTCCTTGCACCGTCTTGGCACTCATACTAACCCAGGTGTTTAAGGGGATTTATTCTGTGTTGGATTAGGGATCTGTGTTACTCTCCTGGGATATTTTTAAACAAGATCAATTTCCTGAGCTGATTCACTGGCCTGGCCCAATTTGATGATACTATAAGGCTGGTTAAGATGGTGGTTCCCAAGTTCTTGCTGTTGAACATGGTTTTCCTAACAAAGATTTCTGTTTGGCCTCAGCCAAAGTGGTGTCTCAGATAAGAAAAGAAATTAAGAGATTGCACCATTTTACTCATCAACGCTTCAGTGTGATGAGGGGGGAGATAAGTAGATGGTGGGTGATGTGTAAACATAAGATTACAAAGCAGCTTGTCAGTGTGTGCATCCTTTTTGTATTCTCTTGATAAAAATGAGTCATAGGCCTCACCTAATATGAGTTTGAAGAGAAAGTGCAAAATTTAAAGGAAGATTGGACTAGGTTTCTAGAAAACCTGAAACAAAAATATAATGGCAGTCTGTGGGTATCAGTGTGAGTAAGATCAGACTCACATTCCTCTTGGAGATAAATGGTTCTCCATCACCCCTTCCCTCTTTCCCTTCACTTGTTTGGTTTCTGTGAGGATGTGAAATACCATGTCCCATCTTGACTTGTGTTTTATAGTGTTAAAATTTTTACATGTGAGTTTTCTCTTGCGTTGTTGGAATGATGGCTGCCTTATTACCTTCTTTCTGTCATTGATTTTGAGTGGTGGTAGCTGAGTTATTCTCACTTAACCTTTAATTGGGTTTGTAATAGGCTTCCACTGAAGTATCCTCACCTATATGGGATATTTAAACTGTACTTTTTCTGAAGGAATACAGAACCCACTGGGTAAAATGTGTTTATTTTAAAAGCTGGAGAGGGCTGCTGAGACTGTAATCAAAACTCCTGAGATTTCATTCACTATTTTCTGAATGCACTACAAAATATGTTTGAAATAAGGATTTATTTTTCAGACACTATCCAGAGTCAATCCATGAAAAATTTTCATTTCTTTTTGATAAGTCATATCAGTTCTGTTGTTTTTCTCTGCTTAGATAGCTGTATTGGAGTTGCATGTGAAGATTTTTATTTATTTATTTATTTATTTATTTATTTTTGGTTTACTGAGCTGATTTTTTACTGGGGCTAAGTAATGATCCTGTAGTTCAGTATGTTGGTACTGTTTGAGATGAAAAAAAATTAAATTTTTATGGTGCAAATGTAAGGGCTTCTTTTTTTTTTCCTAAGGTGTACACACTTAGACTTAATGTGTTTCAAATTTAGTGGAATTCTTGTTTCTAAACTAGATTTTATTTAAGGCCTAGCCACTGTCCCGCTTCTGTGCACACTGGGATGGAACATATTCTGTTGCAGAAAACTCCTTATTTGCAATCACCATATCTGATTTTTGTTTTTCCCTGTGATGGTGGAGGATTAGAGCAGATTATAGTGTTGGGATAATGTCTGACTCCTTGTGTTCCATTTAGTCATAAATAAACCCCTGAGAAATCTGAATGTTGCTATGGTGATGTTAGTAAAAGCCCGGGATATGGAGTAAGTGAGCCGCTTAGAAGCATAATGTCACTCACAGTAATGAGCAGGCGTCATTAGAGCAGTGATGGGTTTACCTGGTGCTCTGTAACTTTGGTAGCCCGTGACAGATTCTGAAAGCAAGTAAGTGAATGCAATTCAAATGAGTATGCTCTGTTCAGTAAATTGCAGCTACAGACCTCTTAACAAATGGAAATTTGTGTTTTGTCTGTTTACTTTCTAGCTTTAATCTATTGCCTATCACAGAGAAACATGCAAGAACCTAGTCTTTGTATTCTGCCTTTCCCATCAGGGACTGGTTGAACTAAAACAACAAAAAACTACTTTACAGCAATTTTGTTTTAAACTGTGTAAACACACACTTCTGAAAAGTAAGATTGTATTAAAATGTGTTTGTTTGTTTTTTTTAGTCTTTATAACCTGGCTTCACTGGAACTGAGAGAAAACTTGCTGACGTATTTACCTGAGTAAGTGACATTTTGTATGTTTGATTATATTAACAAAATGTTCTTATTCTTAAAATCTGCTAACATGTGAAACTGAATGACAGCTAGAAAAATATTCAGTGCCAATTGACGACATGTATGAGACACAGTGTTCTTTTAGCCACATCTAGTTACATCCATTATTCCTAGTTGTACTTGATTATTTACTGGAGCTTGCAGTTTGTGTGGATTGGCTTTGCTCTATAAAAAATATTCAGTATAGAACGCAGCAGCACCAAACACTTCTTGCACTCATTGAACAAGCGTGTCTGCAGTGGGAGTGGTGGTTTGGGTTGTTCTCATGCTGAAATTTCATAACCGTGAAAGTAGGGTAACAAGATCTTGGAGATTTCCACTCTAGACCTTTTAAATAAGTTTTTGCGTTTGGGGCTGAGTAACCAAAAGCTTCTAAAACCTGGAGGCTTCTAAAGCCTCAGTAGCAAACTAGGCCTACTGATGTCTGAAGTCTGACTCCACCTACTGTGATTTTTGGGGGAAAAAGTTATATAGGTGTCTCTGTGTTATCTGTGGCAGAGGACTTTGTGGTCTTTTGTAAGATGAATTTCGTATCTTATATTTTGGGAATCCTTTTTGTCTGTCTAGAAGAAGCCTTTTCTTTCTCTAATGAAGGAGCTTCCTTCCTTCACTAACTGGCTGCTTCTTGCAGGAGCTTTGGTGACTCCTATTTTGCTTGTTTAGATAATCTAATAGATACTGTAAAAGATTTAACCTATTTTAATCAGAATCTCATCCCTAGTTGCTTTGGGTTCCTTTTTTTCCTGTCAGTCTACCCACTGCCTTGGTTGTGGCTGTTTATAGCTGTGAGCCACAAGGCACTTTAAATGTCAGTGATCAGAAGATAGGAATTGCTAAGTTTTGTCATGTAGTGTCAGAAGGAAACTATCGCGAATATTGACAGTTTTATTGCTCCTGGAAAATTCTGGCTGCAAGTAATATAGTTGAGAAGTCTTGCTGGCTTTCATGCTACTGTGACTTTGGGGAAGGTAAGCAACAGACTGTTTTTGAAGGAGAAGGGTGGCTCTCTGTGTCTGTTTATGTTCAGAGAACTTCTTTTACATCCTTTTGGACTTCCCTCTGTTTACAGTCTTGAATCCAACCTGAAATACTTCAGAAAAGGATGGATCATGCTGAGAAGATAAATAATGGATTTATTGAGTCTTGAGTCACATAGTTACACTATGAGGAATTTTTGTCCAGTTGCATAACTGTAAATTTCCCCTAAAAATAAATCTAACTAACTGTACTAGACTATGTGGCATTTCCCACCCCAAGGGACTTACGGTTAAAAAAAAAAGTAATGATTTGATTGCCTGTTCTAAGTTTTAAGTTTCAAAGAAATACAGTTAGACTGACAAACCAGATTATTTTTTCAGTAAGGTATTACTGCATATAGTCTATGCCTGGTAAAATAGCTGTCTGCCTTCAGTACATTGTAATTTGAAATTCAAGTTTCAGTAAAATGAGCTCATTCAAATACATAGGGTTTCTGTTGGTTTAGTCTAATGTGGTTTTGCTTTAACTTATCTCACAGATCACTTGCCCAGCTGCAGCGACTAGAAGAACTTGATTTAGGAAACAATGAACTTTATCACTTGGTAAGAGAACATACCACTGAAAGTGCACATTGGTCTTGTTTTATGCATCATTTAGATTAAATAGGTTATATGATGTCCAAAATTGAAGAAAGAAAAATGTGTGGAGGGAGAGTCTTTTTGTATGCACAGATGAATTCTGGCAGTGAGCTGGTGATTCCTGTATCTGCTTAGTCTTGTTCAGTACAATATCACTTTACTCAAAAAACTGCAGCTGATCTCTAGAAAATGAGAGCACTGCACAGCTTTTTTTATGGAAGTAAAAAGGAGTGGAAGGGCACAAACTCTTGTCTGCGCTTGCATTTACAATGAATACATGGGCTTCCGTCGGGAGCTGGATGAGCTGAGCACAGATGAAAGCTCACTTATTTTCAGGGTGAGAGTAGGAATCTTTGTAAAAGGGCTGAGGCAAACTATTGAGGTTTGCAGGGTCCTACATTGTTGCAGATTGATCTACCAAAAAGATATCTTTCATGTCCCATGAAGTCTGACTCAATTAAATGTTGGATTTGCAGTTGATCAAGAGTGTGCATGCAATTTGTTAGTTAATGCCAGGTAAAGAATGGTAATTTGTTAAGCTATAGCAATTAACTTGTATGATGGAGTTCCCAAAAGCTTACAGTCACCCTTGCTACATTTAATCAAGGTACCTCTAACTAGGGCTTGCATAAGAATTGGTTTACTTATATTGTAATTGCAAGGTGGCCATTTGTTTTTTACTTAAAGCTGCTATACTACTTAACGTTATGATGTTTTATGTTGTAGCCAGAAACAATTGGTGCACTTTTCAATCTTAAAGACCTCTGGTTGGATGGAAACCAGTTAGCTGAAATACCTCAGGTAAAGATGAGCTCTACTAATACTGTTTTGAAGATGCTTTTAAAAGAAAACCTTTTCATTCATACCTAAAAGGAAGTACTTTAAAATGGAATAGATTTCTCAGTTCACTTTGCCTGGGTTTGGCTTTGGGTGTGTAAGGGATTGGCCATGATACTATATGTTGTCAGAAATTTTCTTCTAAGCATTTTGACAAAGGAATTGTTTCCTAATAGCTGCACTGTTAAATTTTTAGGATGACACACCCGCTGTTTACAGTTCTTGCCCAATGATCAGGGAGCCACTAGTTGTCTGAGCTAACCCTCACCTGTTTATCTATCTAAATTGCAGTTTTAATAGTTCTGAGTATGATTCTTTGCTTTTTGCAGTCATCTTCATCCATTGAAGCACAGTGTTAGGGAGAAGTAACAGAACCGTTGCTGTAAATAGAAATTTTGATTTATTCAGGCAAATCCCCTATCTGATATCACTCACAGGATGAGGGCCTTAGCATTTAAAGCTTACAGCACTCCAAATTTCCTTTTTTTTAAGAACTGTGATAACATGTGGGATGGGTCCTTTTCCCTTTTTTCCTTTACAGACATGTCAAAACCTGATTTTTCTTCAGTTCCTCCTGCAGTTTGCTGTTATTTCATATATTGATCAAATTGTCAACTGTGTACCTGGGAAATCAGTTACAATTTAGTGGGCTTAGTTGACTTTGTTTTTGTTGGCTTGACCTAATAATTTTTTAAGTAGAAATAATCATTTATAAAAGGTCAAGTTTGACTTTAGATGCTGTTTTTATTGAAACTGGCTGTTACTGTGTATTTTGTCTAATGGCCAAAAGATGAACTTGTAGGATAAAGGGTATGTGTATGTGTTTAATGAAAGATCCTCTTGAGAGGCAGATGTTTCAAAAGTAAAAGAACTGATCCTGTGAATTAGGATCATGGCTGTCACTGTATGAAAATTTCATATATGTAAAAGTAAAGGGCAGTTCTGCCCCAGCTGTTCTCTTCTCTGAAAGGTGAATGACTAAAGTAAGAACTATTCTCAAGCATGTATAGAGGTGTCTGTGTACATGGGAAATGGGAGGATGCTCTGATAGCTAGTAGGGGCAAAGGCATTTCTCTGTCTAATTGTTGGATTACCATTGTAAAAACCTTAAGTAGTCAATAATAATTGCAGATGATGGCAGTATAACTTGGCAGTTCAAATATGCTTGCTAGAGCAACACTCCTAATTCCTGTTTCTACATTTGTTGTAGTTGGGAGATGTGAAGATATGAAATCCCTAGATGTCATGGCACGTTGCTGTTGCAGCCAGGAGAGACTAATCCTAATTTGCCTAGGGTTAATTGGGAGGGGTAGATTTAATTATGTGCAGGTTGATAATCTGCCTTTCTGAAAAAACAACTGTGCAGTCTACTTGAGGGAAAACTCCAGATTTGGCTGCTGTTTGCCTCAGTGTGCTCAGCATCCCTTGTCTGACTACTGAAGGCAGTCTTAATAGCTAGAATAAGAAACTGTGACTAAATCACTTGGTTGGTTTAGCATATGTAAAGTGTAATTATTTACTTTTTTTTTCTGCATGTAGAGGTCATGTAGAGAACAACCAATTTAGAGGTCATATAGATAATTGTTCTACTTTGTGGAATTTCATTGCAATGGTACATTTTTCAAATTGCTTTCTTACGTGTTTGAGCATGACTTAAATTTTTTGTCTTGTATTGCAGGAAGTAGGAAACCTGAAAAACCTGCTTTGTTTGGATGTTTCTGAAAATAAATTGGAATGCCTTCCTGAAGAAATTAGTGGTCTGACTTCTTTAACAGACTTGCTTGTTTCTCAGAATTTACTTCAGGTCTTACCTGATGGCATTGGTAAGTACAAGGTGAATGCTATCACACAGAACCATTTAATCCATCATAAACTGGAAGTCACTTGCTTTCAAGTCTTTTGAAGTCTTTTTGTGCAAAAGATGAGCTTGTCTCAGGTTGTGTTTTTTTTCCTTTTACTTAGTATGAAATGCATAATTCTATTAACTTTGCATTTTTATTCTCTACATGACTACCTCATAATCCTCTTTCAGTCTTCACTTGATTCCTACCAACCAAAATAAAAATTAATGTCTTTTTGGTTTCCACTGTATCCATGTCACCATCATAAACTCCTTTAACACTGTAGAATTTTAACTTGTAATGTGCTGTGGGTCACTTGATAAGACTGACTGACAGTATCACCATAGAAATACAGAATTTTTAGTGGGGATGTGTATTTCTCTTCAGTTGGACAATGTGATTAATCCTATACTGAACCCAGTGGATGACTGGTTGCACTTCAGCCCATTACTCCTTACCCTTGAATATTCAAACTACAATCTTTCTGTGTCTGACCCCTTAGAATAGGTTCAGTAACTGAAGAATATTTTCTGAAGCACTACCAGTGCCTTTTTTAAGGTACATGTTTTTACCCATGCAGTAGTTGTGACAAGTAGTCAGCAAAGCATTTTTTCTCTGCTGCTCATGAGCTGTTTTTCTGGAAAGTGTCACATTACAAGAGTGTACTTTCTTGAGAAGACTTTTTTTTTTTCTTTCAAAATAAAGCTGTAGGATAAGGAGGACTTGTGAATGTGGTTTAACTACATCTAACATGTGGAAAAGAATGGACAGACCTTCCCCCTTCCCCTGTATGCTATATGAGAAAAGATAAATGCTTCTCTAGAAGTTCAGCTTGGGGAGGTGGGGTGAGTACTGTGGGTCCTACAGCTGGCTAATGTGTGTTTGATAGAGAGTTACAGCAGCCCGCTGTGATGACCTGAGCTGGCCAGCACAGTTGTTGTACATCAGAAATGGAGCTGTACCTTCTTAAATGCAACAGCCCATCAAGTCTGCTAGATAGAGCTTGTTGGCAGAAGTGAACCTTGCTGGTCTAATGTGAAAGCTCCTGGGAGTTGCTCAGCTGATCACTGAATTGGTGGTTGGATTGGTAGATCTGTAGAGCCCTTGAAGCAGGGCTCTCGTCAGCACCAGTGGGTCATGCCATGTCTCACCAAGCCTCTAAAGCCCTAATGGAGCTGGCTCCAGCACCCCGGGCATCACCTCCTAGTGAGGAAGCTGCTTCTGATGTCCAGCTGGGATCTTCCATGCTTCAATTTACAGCCATTGCTGTCTTACCTGCCACTACAGGGAAGAGTTTTCCTCTGTCATCTCTGTAACTGCCCTTCAAGTAGCTGTGGGATATGTAGTTCCTAGATATCTCCTCGGCTGCCTCTTGGTGGGAGTCAACAAAGCCAGCTCCCTCAGCCTCAGCTCACATGTGCCCTGGCCATCTTGATAGCTTTCTACTGGACCCTCATCATTTGAACACGGGGAAGACAGGACATGACGTGAATCTGAGAATGATTTTACAGGCGTGGTTTCACTATTTGCAAGTAGATGGGATATAGCAACTTCTATTGATCTGCTGACTTTAATTCTCCTAAAGTAGTCCAGCTAGTGTTTATTTCTGGTGAGAGCTCACTGCTAGTTATGTTCAAGCTGGTGCCCTCAATAGTCTCCAGGTCCCTTCCAGCAGAACTCCTGTACAGCCCTCATTTCCCAGGTGGTGCTGGTGCACAGGTTTATTCTGCCTGGTTGCAGAGCTCTGCACTTCTCTGTGCTAAACCTTGAGTTTCTCTTTAGGTTTTTATCTTTCTGCATATCAGATGTCTCTTCACGATTTAGCATCAGCAGCGAATTTGATATGCCAGCCTATTACAGCTGTTTTGGACTATGTAGGGATGGCAGAGAGGTGTCAGAAGCTAGTGATATCTCCTGAATTCTCTGTCTTGGGCTCTCCCCATTCTGTTGCAAAGAAGAACAAGGTGAGCTTTCTGTGCTGAAATGGTGTTTTGTTCTTCATGGGAAGACCACGTTCAAAGAAGTTTGATTTCTAGTCTAAAGAATAAAATTGGGTTTCATGTCTGACTAACTGGGTTCTATATGAGGACAAGGAGACCTTAATCCAGTTTGGGTTTGGGCTGTCACTTCACTGCAAGCCATTCTCACTGTAGCTGAGTTAGGTGTAGGTGATCTTCTTCACACTTTTTTATTAATAGATGTTGTATAATGGAGGAAAAAACTGATAATTTTCACGTGTTTATAGGCCTTTGGGTAGACACATCCTTGATATTTACATGGAATATGTTCAGATTGCAAATTTATTGCAATTTTCTTAGGCTTAAATGTTGGATATGGATATTTATATTGAATATGAACTCAGTGATGTTAAAACTTCCCAACATAGTGCAAGCACCAAGTGAAGCAGTGCTTGAGTTCTTTTTTTTTTACCTGAAAAAATTCATTGTTTTAGAGGATTTCTAGAAATTTTGCAGCAGTAAAATTTAATGTAATTAAAGCAGGTATTGGAGGATACTAAACTAAAAACACACATTTTTCTTTCTGTCCAGGAAAATTGCGAAGGCTCTCCATTTTAAAGGTTGATCAGAACAAACTGATTCAACTAACAGATTCAATTGGAGACTGTGAAAGCCTTACTGAACTAGTTCTCACAGAAAACCAGCTGCAGGTAAACATGGTCATGGCTACTCAAATGGTGGGTGGTAATAAGACCTGCTCTTAGGTGCTGAATCACTTAGCTCATTAGATTACTCACCCTTGCTCCTGCTAACTAGCAAGTTTTCTTTAAATGCATCTTATTTCTTACCTGTTCAATGAATGCTGGAGATCAAGTTGTGTGTAGTAACAATATGCCCTTCAAATGCTTCAGCAATTACATATTCATTCTTGAATCTTTCATGACCAGTAAGGGAATTGGAGCATGTGGAGTGCAGGTATCACTTACTTTGTTGTGTTTTTAATGCGGGGTTTGTGCTGTATTGTGTTATTGCCAATTTTTCCTGTGCATTATCTGGATCAGACTTGCCGGAACTGAATAGGAGCCCTGAGTGCTGCAGAGCTTCTGTTGTATTGCTCCTTGCTCTGCTGCTGTACTCTAGCCAGATATTAGATACGATATGTGGTCAGTTAAAATAAATAAGAATTCCTTCTGTTAGGTGTTTCCTTCCATTATTTCGGAACTGTCTTCACATGACACTGACACTTGGAGAGTAGATGTCTCCATAAAGATCTAGGATTGAGCATTTCTTAAGTTCAGTTGGTATGATTGAGTTAGGGTCATAAGTCTGATGGAAAGATGCTTCTCCAGAAGTCAATTCATAGCACCTAAGTTAGGAGATTGCTTCTCAATTAACTTGGAAAACCTGAAGTTCAATGATATGGGCATTCTGCATACGTGCATTCTGTACACAGCTCTTGTGTGACTATTGTCTTAGTGCAGAGATATTTCATGAGTGAATTTGTATTAGAAACTGACATTCCTAGATATTTGTTCTGCAATATAAACCTTTAGATCTTCTTTGGAAGGTCTGGCAGTAATGAGGACTAAGACACTTCAATTTTGAAAGTGGATCAGGATATTACTTAATTTTTAAAGTGAGAGAAGTTTTGTTCTGACTGTGTATTTACGAATTCTGTTTGCATTTTATTTTGTTTGTGTTGGCACAGTCATTGCCGAAGAGCATTGGAAAACTAAAGAAGCTGAACAATTTGAATGCTGATAGAAACAAATTAACATCCTTGCCCAAAGAGGTAAGTTTTGTGCAGATGTGATAGTACAAGCAGAAAACTCTTGGTTTCAAATACCTACAAGAAGTAGCAGGCAGCTTTGGTGCACTGGGGATTCTTTCCAAACTGATCATAACCAGGAACTTGTCCATTAGATCCGAACAGCAGCTCTGGTGATTTGGTGGCTTGGAAGTGCAAAATGTCTTTGCAGTTGAACAGGAAGGCTTGGATCTAATTAGCTTGTAACTGGCAATTCCCAGTGTGGGTGTCAGGTCCAGCACTATTTGAACACTCGGACTTCTGGTAGGTGAAATGCATTTAAACACCAATATGCCTCTTCTACATGTAGTATAAAAGTACTGTCAGCCTCTTCCTCACCTCACTCTAGGGAGCAATAGCAAAGGGAAAGTTTCGTATTCTGAAAAGTGGCTCAGAGACTGTCTTGACAGTCTTATTGAAGGTCTCTGGACTGCTTTTGCCCTTAACTGTGAGGACCTGATGTGACCAATATACCTCAAATCTTACAGCTATGATCACTGGGACTTCTTGTGTATTGTAACAGCGGGTGGAATGAAATTAGGCTAGAGTTTCTGTTGTGAAACTAAGTGTAACGAAAGCCTTAGAAGTTTAGTTCAGTTGTAAATTCTGGAAAGAGGCCAGGGAAAGCAGCATCCTGTGATTGGAGCATGGGGCTGTGAGTTGGTTCGGTTTGCACTACTGTTTCTCCGTAATCTTTGTCCAAGTAATTCTCCCTCTTAATTTTCTTATCTATCTGTAACATATAGCTCTGAGTTTGAAGCTTTTCTTCACCACTTTCAGTTACTTCAGGAGCAGGAGGGATGTGTACTCAGGTGGCAACCAATGGACAGAAATTGAGAGGAGTATCAGCTCTGGCTCTCTTCCTTATGGAGCTCGGACAGCTCAAGGAGGTGGTATGAGAGAAGCAAAGTGGCAGGCAACTCGCAGATGGAAGAGAGGGGTCAAGCAGGGACAGAGGATGCTGCTGTGGCACTGGCAGTAACAATTCCAGTGTCCTGGGTCTGAGCTGCCACAGGCCAGTCACCTAATGGGGAGGGAAGAGAAGGTGTGAGTACTGCAGTTTCTCTAGCAGGACAGTGTCTTCTCTGCAGAGGTGCTGCTGGTTCTGAACAGAAAACTGCAGAGGGTGTACCCAGACAGGTTCCATGAATGCTGGCAAGAGGCAAGACCCTGGGAAAACTGTGTTTCTGGGTTGGTATGTGATAACAATTTTAATCTTATGCTCTTTCAGCAGAAAACTTTCCATGTCTGTACAAAGAACTTTAAGTTAATACATTACACAGGTGTCCTAAAATATCTTAACTTGAGATTTGTACAATTTTATGTCTACTCTGCCTTTAAGCAGAATTGCTCTGAGTTCGTTATAGCATGTGAGGTTTTACTGGTACACTTTATTTCCAGATTATCCATTAATAGCTTATGTAATGTATAAGCACTTTTCTTAGTGCTTATACATGAAGTACATGATATTGGAGACAGTGTATGAGGGCAAGCAGTGTGGCTTGGACAGAGCAGGGACAGGAGCAGATGAAAGGAGAAGGCTTGGCTTCAGAAGCAGGTAAAGCAGGATGAATATGGAACAGGTCTACGGGGAATAATGGAGCTGAGAGCTCAGTGCAGAACAATAAAGGGATTAATGCTGAGCGAGATGCTGGAGACATGGAACCAGCAGTGGGTTTCAGAGGTGGAAAATGTTGCTCGGTTGGTGAAGGAGTTGGGGATATCCAAGGGTGAAGAATGAGAGTGTGTGAAGAGAACATTAGTGCACATGAGAGGGACAGAGGGGGACAACTGGACAGCAGTGGGAAGAAGTCAGGGATGAGCCTGTGTTTGGAGAAGGCAGATAATGAGGAAATGGAAGGTAGTATCTGGAATGAGGTGAGCTGGGGAGTTGATGGAGTCCAGGAAATTAAAATGGGAGAGGGTGGTTCCCAGGAAGCTTGGCAGAGAAACAGAGGAAGCAGAGTTCCTTGACTCCCTATCCACTTCTTTGAAATAGAATTTTTATTTTTCCTTTAAAGGTACCCACACCAATATGTCTGACTCATTAGAGCAAATACTGAAATTAATGTAATGTAAGATTTTATGTTTTGCTCTGTGGATTTTTAATTTTTTATTTTTAAAGGAAGTCAGTCCTTCTCTAACTGGAGGGTCATGTCCACCCTCTAGATCAGTGCATTGGAATTCCAAGCTGGTAATGTGACAAATAGAAAGCATAAACCACCGATGCAATAGGTTGTCTCAAAAATACTGTTAATATGCATGTATTGCAGAACCTGCCGTCTAGCTAACGAGGCTTTTCAGTTTCAGTTTTTCAAGTTTCAGTTTGAATTCCGTGGGCTTAGGCTGTGCAGTAAAATGCTTTTCCCTCTTTAGATTGCCTTCTAACAATGCTGAAATGCTAGTTTCAAAAACAGAGGAATCTACTGCTCTCTGCTCATGTTTTCGTCTGTTCCCGGAACTGCATTTTCTTTGTATAGTGTTCTTCTTAACCAATAGCATTTTGCTTTAAACTAAACATGAACATTTCTGTAATGCAATTTTTCTGGTTAAAATTCAGAGGAATTCAGTGAAGAGATATGTTTCATAGCTCTAAAAGAAAAATGTTCTGTGTAAACTGAGTGCACAGGTATAACCAGTACTGTTTGCTGTTACGCAAAGCATCCACAGGAGCAGCTTCAGGTGTGCTGATAATGGCAGAGATCCCAATTCTCAGTTTTCCTTTGGATGGCAGGGAGGAACAATTTGGTGTCTTGGGTGAAGTGTTCGATTTCCATTTTCCTTCTCATCATTACTGACTTGGAAAAAAAGTAATATAAAATGCATTGGTAGAACACTTAAAGAAAACTGAAAAATGTGTCACCCTTTTTCTGTCTGTTGGAAGGCTCTACTTGACAGTGAGAGAATCATACTATCTTTTCCATTTATTTTCGTCCTAAACCAACTAATTAATACTTAAAGCCAGGCACAAGCTTCTGACAGTAGTCATTTTCAATACCCATGCCTGCTGTGTGTTGCTTAATACGTCTCCTGAGAGACAGTATGGTGAGGACTGAGGTCTTGGACTTTTGCACGTCAGTCTGTGTTAGTACTTGTACACTGGTTCCCCCTTCACAGAAGCAGAGTCAGATGCAGAAGTAGAGTGTGCACCACAGATATTTTTGTTAATTTATCTTCCCCTCTTTTCCTTTTGCTGTTTTCCTTACCTCTTTCATTCTTCCCCTGCCTTACAGAGTGCTAGAACAGCTGTGCATTTGTGGTCTTCATCCTTATAAGTATGACAGGCCATTACTGGTTTCTGTTGGAGAGGGACAAAGACACAGAGTCTGGTAACATGCATGTAAAAAAAAAAAATGGAAAAAATGGGAGAAGAGCACATGTAACCAATACGGTATCTGCTTGCTGGTATCTCTGTCCTTTTATTCAGAATTATTCCTGTAGCAAAGAGAGCTTTTATACATAGAATGGCAGAAAGTATGTGCCTGCTCTAATGTGCCCTGGTGAGATAATCTCTGAGTTCCAGCTTTTCTGAGGCAGTGTAGGGGCTTTTTTTGTAGTTTTGGGGGAAGGGGGTCGGGGGGAATGTTGGTTTGATTTTGTTTTGTTAGCAGTTTAAGAGAATTGGATTTGGGGTCAAATCTGTTAAGCCATTACATTGCCAGATTGTTTCAAGGCATGTTTGTAAAACCATTCTCTATCTTTTGGTGTAAGATTTCTGACTTGGGATTATTGAGGAGTTTTTATGCAAATATACCTTCAAAGTTTCCTGGTTCAGAGGTTCTTCTGTATTGTGTGCCAATAAAGGTAAAATGTGGAACAGCTGAATGCATGACCAAGACTTGAGTCACTGACAGATTTCATCTTCATTATCTCATCTTGCAGCTTGATCCCTCTCTTACTGAACCAAGTGGTGAAACAAACTTCAGCAAGAACTGAGAATGTCTAAACCTGTTCATAGTTAGAAATGTTTTCCCCCTTAAACTTGAAAGACCTGCTTGGTGACTCTCAGGCATTGAAATCTCACCTTGGCACAGGAGCGCTGGTGAAACTGGTGTGTTGATTTTGGCACTTGCATAAATAACCTCCTTGGAATGTTTTCCAGCTTTTGTTAATGAGTCTTTACAACCTGCAGAGATCTTGTAATGTGTCCTTCCTGGCTCTGAGGTATATTGTGAGAATTATTATTCCAGTAGGTAAAACTGCAGGTTTTTTTTGGCAGTAACTGTCTTTTAAGTTTGTTTTTCAAATAAGTGGGACTGCTTTGTTGTTTCTGGTTTTAACTTCTGATGTCCTGTCCCTTCCCTCATTTGTGTAAAAGTATGCGTTTGTGCGTCTCAGAGGGAAAAAAGGCACTGAGGAAAAATGCAGGAAAACTTGTCTTGAGACAGAGGGTGGAGCAGCTCCCTTGCTATGCTCCTCCTCCTCTACTATTCACCAGTGGTGCAGGGGGTGTTGAAGTGAGTTTGCTGAAGATTTTCCTAGCCAATTTAAAGTTATTAATAACTGAATAATAGTTAATAATAGTGAATTGGGTGGTTTCTTCCTCCTCTAAATGTATTCTATGCTTTCAGTTAAAGAAGTAGTATACCTTATGTAGAGCCAAGGAAAATTCTGACCTTGTTTACTTTGAACCCAAACAAAATTTTGGATATGACACTCTGGAAAAGGTTTTATAACACAAGAGGAACTGTGTTTAAATTGCCAATATGTTTATCAGGCTTGTATAAACCTAGTGAGAGTTCTTGACGCTGACAGCTGTTTTGAGAGTTGAATAAAAGAGATGTGTCATTGGACTTTAACTAGTCACATGCTGAAGAATAATCATTATAGTATTTGTCATAATATCGTAATTTTTTTTCATTGCTTATACCTGTGTGAAAGATGCTAACTGGTAAAGGACAGGATAATTGATTCATAGCTTTTGAGTAGTTAACAACTGCTGGTATATACTTAAGAGTCAACAGAAACAAAAGCAGAGAAGTGATGTGTTAAGACTTGCAGTTCTAGAGGACTGTCTAAGATGGACTAGTAGCAGGTATATGAATGTCAAAAAAGCAGGAGGCTGAAGTGCTGAATGCTTCCCATGATCAGAACATAGTGGGGAGCTTTAGTAGCCAAGCTGACATACTGCCTATGTACATCCAAACCTTACTGCTTCTCCAGAACAGGGAAGCTGTTAGAAAGATGAGCCTCAGACTGAGATAGAAGGAAAGAGCAAAAAGGTCCTCCATAGGTATAGTTTTGTGTGGAACCCAGAGGGGTCCTAGTGATGCTCATCCTCTCAAGCAAGTCCATCTGAATTGCAAATATGCAGTTTTATTCTGACTTCATAGTATCAGTGATCTTGAAATTAGCACTTCGTAGTAATGACCATTTTCTGCCTGACTGATGTGTGGGTTTTGGTTTTGGTTTTTATCTAGGCTTACTGTTCTTTGGAGTTGGTGTGATGTGACAAGGGAATAACCCTTAAATTAAAGTTGCTAAAATGAACTAAATCTCAGGAGTATGACTTAGACATGCACAACTCATTTGAGATCTTTTCCTGATGTCTTGCTCACTGCAGAAGAATGTGAGGACTTCTTTAAGCCTCCAGTCCTTGGAACAGTTACTCATGTGCCTAGAACTAAGCACATGCTTGTCCCCATTAATTGAAGTCTGTGCTTGAAATGAATTGTGTGCTTAAGTGTTACATGGGCTTGTGGCCTCAACTGTGTACTTGGTGCATATGCTGTGGTTTGGCAGAGTTTGTTGTAAGCATGTGATCAGACCCTTGGAAAGCATGGCTCCTCCCCAGTTAATGACTCTCAGCCAAACCAGTGACGTTCTGATACCGTATTACTTCACGGTGGTCACAGCAGTGTTTTCCTTTCAGCATGCCATGTAGTGTGTGCACTTTGCCTCAGTGGTACCACTTCATGTTCAGGTTTTCAAACATTGGACCTGACATCTTTCTGTACTGCTGGATGGGTGCCATCTTTGTTTGAAATGACAAAGATTTTAGTTTATTTTGAACTGTCTTTTTTTTCCTGTGATATCTCACCTGATACTGCTCGTTAGATGCTGTCTTCATTTTCTAAAACAGTTACTTAAAAAAAATTCAGTGTCTCTTTTTTTATCTACCCCACTACCCTAGGAAAATTCACTACCTCTGAATGAAACAAAACCTTTGAACAACTGCCTGTTGAGTGATATGCAAAGTTAAATTAACAGAAGTTAAAATAATTTAGGAGTTGGCAGTAAAAAAATGTGTGTTCTGTCTCCCATTTGTTGGCATGCTCTTGTCCATGTATCCAGTATGGATAAAGAAAAATAAATTGAACATCTTTTGTATTTTCTTAATTGTTAGCCGCTTGGAAAATTATGGGTCAGGTAAATTGATAACCCTGTAAGTATTATTCAGTCCACGGTTCTACTGTTACCTTTCATTAAACTGCTTTAAATGCATGATGACTCGGGCCGTCCGATTCCACTGCTGCATTTTTCCATTGTCAGAAGTACAGAAGTTTTGGTCTCATCAGGGCTGCATGGCTTTACCTTGTTTGTTTGGCTAAACTGTTTGGATCTCCATGCTCCAAGACTGAATAACGCAAACTTCATTCATGAAAATCGAACACCTTGTGTACACGTAGGGCATCACTTACCAGCTCATCAACATTCACTAATTGTATTTCTTGCTTTTCACAGCTCCTCATGTTAGAAACACCAATTAGACAATTAGTGTGTATATGTATTTTTTTTTTAAATGGCACTGTATTCTGTGAATATGTGAAGGCACATTATTTAAGAATCTATACACGCTTTAATATGAGTAGCAGAATTCTTGCATTAAGAAAGTTTGCTCACGATTTGAGCACTGGTTTCTAAGGGCTTTGATTCACAAGCTAAAATGGCTAACAAGGCTGATGCTTCTGTTGTACACACAGGGCCAGGAAAGCTGGTAATCTTGTGAAATAGCTGCATTCTTTAAGAGTGCAGTGATTTAGGGGAAACATCACAGATTTTGTTTTGTCAAGAGAATGTTGCATTGTAACTTTTTGCTGTAAATATCTTGTGAATCAGAAGCCTTGAGCAGCTGATTGCTGCTTTCTTCCATTAAAAAGCATTTATGATACAAAGGAAGGTGAATGGTGTATTTGTTTTGTTTTGTAGTCAGAGTTGCATCCTTTTAAAAATGGTTTTTTCCTTGTAAATAGTGTAGGTTAAATCAACATTATTTTTACTTCACCAACTAAAAATCTTTTATGGTAGTTGTTTGTAATCTCAAACTTGGATTTGGACTGAATTGTGGATTTTGCAAAAACACAACTGACAGTTAACAAGAACACATGAATAATTTCAGCTCAGATTTGGGGACTCCTGAGCACGGTGTAGCAACACGCTGGCTATATTTTGAGAGGAAACCCTTCTTAGATGTGTGTGACTATAGAAGTCCTCCAATTTTTGAACTAAGCTCTTCCACTACGTTTGGTGTCTATAGCTAGATTCCAAGTCCACTTTACTTGAAAGGTTCCAAAGGCATTGGGATATTTTGCCTCTAATACTTGGAGTAAGAAAAGAAACGTCTTTTTTTCCTCTTCTTATGGTGGGTTTTGGAACACGCAAACAAACAGCAGTGCTTTTTGAAAACTCCGTATGATAAGCAAACAAAGGTAGGTTTTCTTTGTGAATAAGAATAAAGAGTTACTTGAAGCAGCTTTTGAGTTACTACAGCTAATAATCTTGCTGTTTATAGGAGTAGCTCCTTCTGGAACATAAAACTGGAATATGGTTTTTTAAAATCAAATATAGAATGTTTATTTTTCTGAAGACATCTACTTCTGGTGGAAAATATAGGTATTTTAAGGGTAAAACTGAAAACTCCTATGTTTTGCACCCAGAAAACTAGCTTAAGAATGCAAATGCTTACATTTGGATAAATGGGTAGAGACAGAGGATATTAGATTACAATAGATTAAAGAAGGCCAATTCATATGGGAATCATCTTGAAATGAGATACTTTTAACGACTCAGGGCATCAAAGATTTTACTCAGTCTTCTGCTTCTTGTGAACTCTTCATTACTCTTTGTGGCCTCAATAAATGTCGGGAGTTGGTTGGTGTGTTTAGCATTTTGCTTTGCCAAAAGCCCCATTGTTTGTACCTAAGTTACTGAGAGGAAAGAATGAATTAATATGTAAAATGCAGAGCTAGAAAAAGTTAAGGGTAGGGGTTTTTGTGAGTGTTGTCTACAGAGTAGCCTGTGTGTGATTACTGGTTTTTTCCTTGTGTAGAAGGCTCTGAAAGGTAGGTAGAATGCAACCTATTTGTAAAGATACAGAGATACAGATGTTCAAGACTTGGCTCCAACAGACTTGCTTCAGGTCAGACTTCTTTTAAGCTAACACTTGTTTGCAGTCTGTACCTCTGGGTGAAGTGTCTGGCAGGCATTGTAGCTTGAATGTGCTGTGACATACTCTGTGACCAGTACTGCATGCCTTTGTTATACTGTCGTATGGCAACAAAACCAGACTTTTCCCCCCCCCTCTTCTCTAATATAGGTTGGGGGCTGCTGCAGTCTTAACGTATTTTCTATACGTGACAACAGATTATCTCGAATTCCTTCTGAAATTTCACAAGCCACTGAACTTCATGTCCTGGATGTTGCTGGAAACAGGCAAGAGATTTTTGTTTTCATGTTCTTTTGCTGTATTTACTCAATTCTTTCTGATAGCAAAAGATACTACGTCTAAGAATGAAGTAATAAAAACCAGTTATGACATTTATGTTAGTGTTATGGTCGAAATTCTGAAAGTAGTCTTTCCCCTTGGCCAAAAGTAGCATAAATTGTGTGTTTTCATGAGTGTGATTTTTTTTGATTACTTTGACTCTGAGGAAGAGATAGGATTTTAAAAAAAACCATCTGGATTTGTATATTTTGGAGTTGAAAATGAGAATCTAGGCAACTGCTAGAGCTTCAGCTGAAACTACCAACCATAACACCGAGTAACACTAATATCGAGTGTCTTATCTTTGCAATACAGTGAAGGTAACAAGGAAAGCCAGTTTGACCTTGTAGCTTCTCACCAATCTTAGTGTGCTTCAGACATCAACATGCAAAAATGAGTGGATTAAAGCATAAACCAACAAATTAGTTTAGTTGCTTGGTAGGGAGTTAAATAAAAAAAAAAAAAAGGAGGAAAAGCAAATGTTATTTCTTCTATGCAAAGTAATTGTCTCAGAGGCACTTACATGTTACTGTTCTGACAGTTGTTTATGTGTAACGTTCCTGAGCGGAGGCAGCCGTCTGCCTTCCTGGGCAGTTTACTGCAGTAGAGAAAGCTCAGCACAGTTTTACCTGTTACTCACAGCTACAGAGGATTATGGTATAAAGTTAAGCTGCAGATTTATTTTTTTTCTAAAGAACGGAGTAGTTGGAATTGATGACTACTGCAATGCCTTTTATTAGAGGCAATAATTTCAGTCCTATTTATTCTAACTCAATGATATATACTTAAGTCAACTTCATGAGTCTCTACTAAGTCTCCTAGAGATTGCCCTGACTTTTTTACTTCTTTTTTTAAACTAGGCTGGCGTATCTTCCCCTCTCACTGACTACCTTAAAGCTGAAGGCTTTGTGGTTGTCTGATAACCAGTCCCAACCTCTACTGACATTTCAGACTGACACAGACCCTGAAACAGGAGAAAAGATTTTGACATGTGTATTACTTCCTCAAATGCCTTCTGAGCCTGTTTGCCAAGGTGAGTGCGTAGAGTCAACTTTTCATTCTGTATAGAAATATTACTTCTTTGTTTACTTTGTTGTCTGTTCCATAAAGGTTTGTAAACGATTCATAAGCACTAATGAGCAAAGTACCAAAGTTCTGGTTGAATTTTCACTATTAAACTTCTTTTTTTTCTGTAATCGGTCTTCAGAAGACTTGAAAATTTGGCAGTAAGTGTTACTGAAAATGCAGTGACAACAATAAATACAATACATACAATAAATAAAATACAGATCTGAAAGAAAAAGACTTAGATCATTATTCTGAGGCTTGCCAGTGGGCCACGTAGTGGTGTCCATATTTGTGCACATTGATTATACATCTTAAATACATATATATGTTGTGAAAATTAGTGCCTTTCTGCTTTTTTTAACCAGAAAAATGAATTGCATAGTGAGTAGTAAGCAGTAGACATTTTACTTTTTAGCAAGCTAATTTTCTTTCAAGCAAATATGCTGTACAATAACTTTATTATATTAATTAACAAGTGTAGAATTGCATTATAAGTTGCGTTTACCTTTTGTGTTGAAACTTGCCTCTGGGTCAGGTGGAACCATAAACTCTTTTTCACTGTTGGCTGGGTTGCTGCTCCAGTAACTTTTGAATGTTTTTTGTCCTCAAGTTTTAAAGCTGTGTGTGAACATTGGAGGGGATTCGTCTGAGCTAATATTTAAACTTCTGGTGTAATCACTGCAAAGTAATTTATCCCATGCAAGAATGGACTTTAAAAGAAAATCATGTAGATTCTTCTCCATTGAGACCAAAAGGGGCCTGAGGAGAAAAGTTCAGCTGTAGATAATCTGTATTGTAGGTACCCAGACTTAATTCCAGTGTTTCAGTCCTGTGTGGCTGGAGCAAATAGAAACCATTGAAGCAGCAGGAGTGTAGAAGTATTTGTTTTATCTCAGCTTCTGGATTTTAAGACTACAAATTCCATGAAGAATTAAAATAAGTAAATGAATCAACCTGTTTAGATTTAGAGAAAATTAAGCTAGTTCAAGAAGAGGAACTGAGGTAGACCGACTTTCTCTAAGGACCACACTACTAGAAATTAGATTACCGCCTCTCCAGGTGAATTTCATAGCTTCAAGCAGAGAAGGCTTGGAATTAGGATTGTTGGATGTGTATGCTTGATAGTATTAAAAGGATGAAGTCAGTAAAAGCAATGATCCTGTGTTAGGAAATCCATTTAGTGAACTGGCTAATGTCAGGTGGCAGCCATGATCCAGAAGAAAAACCACATATATTAAATTATATAATCAGCACTTTAAAATCTGAAACAGTCCAAGTATAGAAATAGCTCATTTATGCATAAACTATTTAGTGTGTGTCCTCAATAACAGAAAAGAAATGCAAGTTCTTTCTTCTGCCAAAAAAAGTAGAAATAGCCACTTGTAAATCTTGAATGAGTGATTAGTTGGTTATTGCAGTTATTGCCAATATAGCATGCTGATTGTGTGGATTCACATGCATGTTGCTGTGAATCCTGAGCTGCATCTTCCTGTTCTAACAGATAACCTACCACGATGTGGTGCATTGGAGAGTTTGGTAAATGAAATGTCAGATGAAACATGGAATGAGCGGGCAGTGAATCGAGTCAGCGCAATTCGCTTCTTAGAAGATGAAAAAGATGAAGAGGATAATGAAATGGTATGTTTTCCCAGCCTTTGGATACCTGCAGACACTGTGACTTTAATGCAAAAGTGTAAAAAGTATCTGAGCATTCTTGCTGTACATATTTCAGCTGTGACTGCTGTTTTGTGTGTACATTTGTAGCAGAAACTCTTCATGTTGACTGCTGAAACTTTTTATATTGACTTTAAATGCCTTTTTTCTTTTCTACTTTGAATATAACTTTTATATTCTGATGCAGGGCAGTCTTTGTGTTGCTTTGTTTTCCTCTGTCTGCTCAGGATGTTTTCTTTGCAGAAAGAAGATAGGATCTTTCTCTGCATCTTTGAAGCTTTACTGCCTGAAAGTACTTAGGGTCTAATTTAACATTCCAGCACTCTGGCATGTGTCTCCATTACGTTTGCCATCGTTTGTCTTTCTGATTTCTATTTCCTATCTTTCTTGCTCTCTTTCTTTCCTTTTTTTTTTTTCTGAACTCCACCATTTGCCATGAAACAACCAGTGTGTCCATAAACAGAAAAAATGTTGCTCATTAATTTCCCACTTAAACAAAGGATGTGGGAACATCTGTCACTGTATTTATAAGACCTCTCCATTAAGTTGGACTCTGCATGTCCTGAAGATCAAAATGCAACGTGATCTGTAGTTTTACTAACTTCTATTAACAATTATAACTCTTTGTAAAGAATAAGACTTCTTCAATCACATTTTCAGTTTGCTTCTCTGATGCTCTAAAAAGTTGCTGGTGATCCTCATTAGATCTCAGCTTGAGATACTTCAGGGCACTGTCTGGATTGTTTTACTTTAAAAAGTGACTATAAAAGCTTCTAGTTATAAGGTAAATGAACAAGTAAGGTAGTTGCTTACTCCAAAGCAGCAGAAACTAGTCGTCTCTTAACAAGCATTGTTCGTAGACTGACTAATAAGAGAGTTCAGAATAATGCTGCTTAAAAACTGTGCCAACCTGAGGATGTCCATACAGTAGCGAGGGCTCCTGTGTTAAAGACAACTGCTTTCAGTCATGGTATTACAGCCTGATTTGAGGCAAGGACCTTTTTAGGGAAAAAAAGGGTTTATGATCTTACTGGGGAGAAGGAAGGGCAGATTTCCAAAGCAGTCTTGACTAAAGCATCCGTTTATGGGTCATCAGTTCATCCATAATGTGCACAGTTTACATGTATGCCACTAAAAAGTAACTGCATGTATATGTTTATTATACGTATTTTATATTTGTGGTGTTCTGTTGGTCTCCACCCTGGATGCTAAATGCAGTTTTTGTAAATTTTGTTTTCCTTGTAAAGGTTTCAGCACAATGATGTTAGACATTCTTGTGTCTTAAGAGGGGAGAGAAATACTCCCTCTTCATCCTCTCAGGATACTTGTTCTCAATTGACAAGAGAACCAAACTGTGTGGTGGGGCTGGAAGACATACAAAACCTCACACAAACATGTATTTGACACTCTTGTGGGATTCTTTCAAAATCAGATGAATGTTTTCTATTTGAAATGTGATCTTAAATCACTTACATGCTTTTGGGAGAAAAAAAAATCCCCAACTACATTTATGAAAGAATCTTCACTTCATAACTTGTAATTGTACTTCACTTGAGTGGCTTTCAGATTAGTAGGCCAAAAGAGGAAAAAATTTGCTCCTAGACAGTTCTTAAAACCTCTTTCACTATCTTCATAAACAAGCAGCTATGAAAGTCATATTCAGCACAGAACATCATAGTTTGAAAAGGAAAAGGGGGGATAAAAAAGAAAAAGAAAGATACCTAGTATTTGGTATGTGAATGCTGAAGCCTTGAAAGTGTATGTTGTTTTTGCAAAGAGACGAAGGCAAAACCACTTATTGCGCTGTTTATTTTTAGAGAACACTTCTAAGGCGAGCCACTCCACACCCTGGAGAATTAAAGAACATGAAAAAGACAGTGGAGAATTTACGGAATGATATGAATGCTGCTAAAGGACTGGACTCAAACAAAAACGAGGTCAATAATGCCATTGACAGAGTGACCACTTCCGTGTAGAGTTTCATCTCCAGGTTTTGCCTCCTGTGTCTTCCCCTGCTGTTGAAATGTTCCTGTCGTCTTCTGGGACCTCACTGAGCCCCTTTTTGTTTTTAACCAGAACCTGATTCATCGTCTCCATACGTGAAAAATGCGGCCCACTGGAAGAAAGTGCCTTATTTCATCCAGGCAGTGAACCAATAATTTCCAAATCAATATTGTAATTTTAGTAGTCCTAGGCTTTTTAAAGTTTAATACACTACTGTATGCAAAATACAATATTTTTGTCTTAAACACAGGGGAAATAATGCTTTTCTTTTCCAGAGTGCTGGGATATCTTCTTCCCAGTGGCTGGATGTGCTGGTGAGAAATATAGTTTTGTGGGAAATTGATACACTTTTTTATTTTTTTGGCAGCTCAGATGGTGTAAATTTTAAATTTTTGTATAGGACTTTCATAACAAGATGATGTATTTCATTTTTAAGAGAAAATTTATCTTGAGCGGTACATATTTTAGTATTTGTGGAAGAGAACAAGTTTCATGGACAGCTGTATCGTTTGTTTGTACCACCCATTGTGCCTTATTGTGTCTTGTATGTCATATTAGTCTTAAATATAACAGTTCTTGAGGAAAGTGAGTAGATTTGGTCTCCAGCTTTAGATATGTCTTTCTTTTCAGACATTGGGAATTTTACAGCAGAGAACTTATGTTTGTATTATGGAATCTTAGGTCATGAAGCACAAATGTTAGTTTTGTTGTAAAGAGAATTAAGATTTAAATGACCAAACTGCTATTGTTTATTACATAATGCACTCACACTTTAACTTAGTTGTAATGAAACATCTTGGTTTGGATCCCGTGTTGCATTGCAGTCACTAGAAGTTCATGCTTCCATTGTTTTTTTCAAATGTGCCATCTGTAAAATAACTTGAAAAACAGCACGATAGACTTTCAGAAGCACAGTATGAAACTAGTTTTATGTATTACACAAGAAAGCATGATTCTTTAAACTGCTTTGGTGGTTTTATAAAAATATATAAAACCATAATAAAAAAAATCTTTGAAAGCTTCAGTAGATTCATTGTATCATTAAAACAGCAATTAAAGTATCAATTAATACTGGAATTTACTATCATTGTTGCTGTGTTGCACTTCCAGTGGTCCAGTGCTGATTTCAAGGTCTTATTAAATCTGTGGGTTCTGGTTTGTTTCTAAAGGTAAGTATTAACTGAATTCGGTAAATAACAGTTTTGCAAAAGGCTGATAAAGATTGTTGGTGTCTCTGGGTTGTGTATGTGCCATGAGCTAACAAAGACCACTGACTGGTTCAGTGCAGGAACTTGAGTAGTCAGAGTTCAGAGCAAAAATTTCACATATTTGGTGTGAGATGATACAATGAACCCATATTGAACAAAATGAAATATCTGACACTTCATGAGTGGCTAACCACACCCCTTCTGCTGCTGAGAGTTTCTTCCAGAAAGTGTGAATTGTATGAGGATTTCTGGGAGAAGATAGGAAAGGAAGAGATCAGGGAAGTCCTAATAACTTGTGTTTTCAAATTAATACCTGCAATACATGATAACTTTTTACATTTTGATTTGAAGCTTTTACAAAAGGCACTGCTTTCTTTTTGATATTGAACAGGTAGGTATTGCAAGCCATCTGCAGGTGTTTAAATCTAATCTGGCACAATACGTTAATTTTCATTTCTCATCCCAAAGATTCCTCATTTAAGCTTAAAAACGTGGTTTCTTTGTGGGAGATGCTGCAGGTGTTTAGGTATTAGGTCAGTTCAGGGGGGTAGTGCAGTTTTATTCTTTCCAAGGCAGAGCTCTCCTGGTTATTCTCAGTAAGCCTCTGTTAAAATAAAACCGAAAAGAAAACGAGCTTTTGGTACAGCTGACTCCAACCCTGGATAGAATTTTCTTTTTAAAGTACTTAATGGAATTGACACAACAAAAGTTTAAAAATGTACCCAGAGTGCAAGTAAACCTCAACAAACCCATTTGAGATGGAAAAGTTTTCCTAAAATAGACAGTTCCTAAAATAGCCAAAGGCAGCAAGACTCTGTGATGCCAATTTTTCATTTGGAAGCTGTGGTTTGTTTTGTTTTTAGTGTCTGCTCCATCAGCAAGATGAATGTGTAAAGCCTGGGTTTGGGCCTTGCCTGACATGCCACCAGATGAAAATAATTAACTGCCCCTGTGCACCTACTCCCTCCTGCTACAGGCAGAACAAGACGTAAACCTTGTTATAACTCTGTGATAGGTGCTTGGTTGCTCAGCAGTTGCTTTTTATACATTCTGGCAGGCTTGTGGAGACTGTGCTGCAGCCCACAAACCTACCAGAAGACAGGTTTGCTGCGTCTGCTTTGGCATGAAGTAACTGGTCAGCAGTCAATTTTTTTTAATATGTTTATTTTATTTGTTTGGGGGTTTTGTTGTGTTTTTTCTTTGGGTTTTTGTTTGTTTTGTTGTTGTTGTTAATAGTGAGAGGAATATTTGTTGTGCTTTCTCTGGCTGTAGAAAAATGGGTGAACCAGGCTTGTTGCCTTCATTTGGGACAGTTTCACACTCCTGCACTCAGGAGTGCTGGTATTGTCATCTCAGCCAAAGGTGGGTGGTATGAATTGCTTATTGAAAGTGTTTGCATCCATTCATTTGTAAAAGAAAATAAAAGGAGCTCAGACTAGAATCCAGTAATTGCCTAATGAGAGGTTATTGGAGCTGTAGTCCGTCATCAGACCATCCAGCTGCAATCCCTGAAGGAGTGTTGGTGTTCCTTGCTTTTCACTGCCATCTGTCTTCACTTTGTGAATCTGTGCAATGGAAGTCTGGATTTTCATTGTTTTTTTTTCAGTCGGTATCTGGGGAGAGTTAAAAGAGGAGAGGTGTATTTTTCAGTCTTCTACACTAACACTGTGTAGCACTGTATGTCGTTAATGTCCTTTTTTAATGTTTCTTGGGTGAGACAATTAAAGATTTTGCCCTGCTGCAGGTAGTTCAGCAGTGTATAAATGTAGTGCAGTGTTTGAGTCTAGCAATAAGTGTAGTTTCCAGCCTAGTGAATCCTTGAGGTATGGCAACAGCTGCTGGTGTTGTGGAATAATAGCAGTTGAAGTGTCATTTGTGCTTCAAGGCTGAAAAGATGTTTGGATACTTGCTGTGCAAACAGTGACAAATGTCTACCCTCTCTCCCCCTAATGCTGGTTCAGAGTGACTTGCATGTCATTCTGCTTGATCAAACCTCCAGCAGCTGAGACCCCAGAAGTCCTTCTGATCTCTTGACTGGTCCATGTGTGTGCCATTTTATGAAGTGGTTTAGGTATGCTTCTCTTCCCAACAGTGTTGATAACACTTCAGGCAGTTTTAATTGTGTTTTATAGCCAGAAAAAACTGATGATATTCTGATGAAGCAGCGTGTCATTGAAAGCATGAACCCTCCCTAGTCTCTGTTTGACTTTTTTCTTTTGCTGATGCTGTGAGGAGCTTGAGTAGTGAATATGATTTTGTAAGCATGACTGACTTTTTTCTCTATGAACTTTTTCCACTTCCCTTTGTAAGTCTTTTGGGAGGTGGATTTAATGCAAGGAAAGACAAAATTTGCATCCTGTTTTATTAGCTATAAACAGGTAACCAGGGAAAATCAACTGACCATAGTGGTGGAGTAGATTTAATATTAACCTGTCGTTTACTGCATGCAAGTTCTCTTTATTGAAAGTCACAATTCCATAGTCTTGAAAGAACAGGGGTGGAAAAAAAGCACTCTTATGCTACCATTGTTAGTGTAGCAATGGATTTTTCCATCCCCTCTGTGTTGCTCCAGGCTTTTCTCACAGCTTCCATATAATTTACGTGTTAAGATTATTTTTCTGGCTCAAATTCCATGTTTTTTATAAATGACATATTATAGGAAAGTGCATATTGGAAACTTGCATAATGCTCTCCTTTCCAGCAAGTAACTTGTTTGTGTCCTGCTTAGCCTGCTTTTTGTCTAGCACTAGAAATTTACTGGTGCTGAGTGAACATTTTTTTGATTATTAGCTACTGGATGCTCATGATTTCAGCTTTTAAGAGGAGAGTAGTGACAGCAGGAATTTGATTTTTTTAAAAAGTGTATTTTTAGTATATTAGTTGATCCTACCCAGGTAAATGGAAATGTCTTCCTCCTACTGAGATGGAAGCACACTGTTTATCAGAAATGTCTAGACCTTTTGTTAATGGAGAATTCACTGCCATTCTTTGCCTTGACTCCAAAAATAAAATTACTTTTTCAATTGACTTGCTATGAGTGCTTCCCCTCTTCAGTTTCCATCAAATGCATAAATATGTTTCAGCGCTTGGATTGCTATCAGAGAATATGACAAAAGCCGACTGGTCTTGACTATAAGTAATAGTTTTGGGTGTTCCCTTCCTTCTGAACCAATTGTGAAATTTTCAAAGGGCCAGTGCCTTGTTCTTTCATGCTAAAGTCAGGAATATAATCAGTATTCCACCAGCTGAATGAAAAATGTGATTATTTTTTTCCCCCCCCCCAAAGTGGAAGAGCACATACCTGGTTTGAGGATGCCTCTGTGGGCTGCTTTGCAGGAGCTGTCTTACTTCCTTTTCTGATGGGTGTTGGAGACACTATTTGTTTTATTGCCACGTGCGTGGTTCTTGTGGCAACCAATTGGTCAGTCATGGGCTCTGCCAGAGCAGAGGGCTTTGAGGAAGGACCTCGATGACTGTAGCTGGACTGTGTATTAACTTCAGGAGCATGGGTTCATGACAGTCTGTTTTTGAATTTATAAGTTGTTCAGGGTATTTTGCCTCTTAACACTGATGTTGTTAGTCTATTAACACCGAGATCTTAAGAAAGTAGTTTATCTTTGTACAGGAGAAGCCCTCTCTGAGAAGTACAGCATCAGTATTGTCCATGGGAAGAACTCTGTGGCTCCTCAGTGATGTTTCAGAGAAGAGTTTTAGCAAATCTCTCTTGGCATTAGTACCAGGAAGTGGACACCTGATGTCCAGTAACCTTTGACACTTTTTCTATAATGTGCTCATCTGTTGCTGGAGAATGTTGTCTTGACTGAAATCTCTGGAGGTGTGGTAACATCCAAACCCAAAATGTTAGCAACGAGTACTGACTGTGGTAACTTTCCCCAACATCCACAGATGCACACATCTTCCAAATACCACTAAAACATCAGCAGCTTGGATTTCAGATTATATTCAGATTCAGTATAATGCAGAGACAGGACTTTGAAGAGTGAAGTTAGTTTTGTATTGGGCTAAAACTATCTTCTTTTGAAGCAAACTCAGGCAAGTTATGGAAATGTGCTCTTGTTGTAAGCAGTCTGATTCTATGGTCATTCCCAATAACTTGCCAGTTTTACCCAAACCCAAAATAAATTGGCTGCTTTAAACCAGTCTGAAGTAGCTCATAGGAGACATGATTGTCCCATATTTCTGGAAGATTGAACAGGACACTACATGACTACATGATTATAAACATGAGTTTATAATGAGTTTTAATAGTTCATTGATGACATCATGGACTTCCACTAAGCAACTTAAACCAAAACAAAATCTAAACTAACTAACGAAAAGAATGTTTGTTTGAATATTACTGATGATTTTTTTTTTCTTTCAGAAGGGGAGAAGACTGCAAGTCTAAATAGAATTTGCATAGTGGATCTTTTTAGGATAATGTACAGCAATTTTACTTTTTTAATTGTGTTTCCAGGAAATTAAAAAAATCTTATCTGGCTACTCAGTACTTGAACATCTAAGTTTGACATTGTCATGTATTTATGCTAGCAAGGTTTCCCCATATAAGGCTTGCTTCCATTATCTGTTTAGGCAGCTTTGTTGCCTCTCCTACAGCAAAAACATATTCAAGGATGCCTTTGTTTCAGCAGCATTTTGTTTAGCTTTCATTCTTGTTTCATGCGAATTACACAAAGCTTTCTTAGAAACGGCCTTTTGTACTATAAAAAAGGAATGAGTCTGAAATAATTTTGAATTAATAGAATGTGTTATGTGTAGCTGTATTTAAAAGAAAGAGAGTGTTTATGTTCTTTGA